CTACAAAACCACTTTGATTCAAGGAAATAATCTTTGGTAAGAGAGTTTTGAGCCGAAGAGCAACCATCTTACTCATAATTTTGTAGAGAACCCTACATAGAGCAATAGGTCGAAGATCCCCCATGACCTCTGGATTTGTTTTTTTGGGAATAAGGACAACATCTGTAGCCCCCATCTCATTTGGGATGACTCCAGAATTTAATTGGGAAATGCAATATGATGTAACATCAGTCCCTAAAATATCCCAAAATTGTTGAAAGAAACCTGGATTAAAACCATCCCCCCCGGGGGATTTGTCAGGATGCATAGAGAATACCGCTTGTCGAACCTCTTCATAGGAATAAGGCTGTCGTAACATAGCATTATCCTCCCTTGAAACTAGGGAGGGAATTAATGACTGGATAATATGGCCTGGATTCCCTTGGGCATGATAAAGCTCCTCAAAGTACTCCTTAATAGTATCCTCAAGACCATTGCTCCATGTACGCAATTGACCATTTGAATCCGTCAACCTGTCGATCCTGTTGAGGCGCTGTCGTTCAGAGGCTTGAGCATGAAAGAACTTTGTGTTGCGATCTCCTTGAGTGAGCCAAAATTGTTTAGCTTGCTGACGCCAGAAAGCCTCTTTAAGAGCATAAAGTTCAAACAACCTCTTTTTAGCTCGCTGGAACTGTATACGACTCTGGTGATCTCGTCGTCCTCTAGTGCGCCTCTGGATAGTCCTCATGATATTGATCTCTGAAGCAAACTGGTCTTTCCACTCCATTCCCCATACATGTAATCTTGTTGAACAAAAATTTAATTTCTCTTCTAATGATGCTGCATGGCTAACCTCCCAACAGTCAAGCAAAAGAGGACGAAGAGTGGGATCTGATCTCCAAGCATTCTCGAACCGAAACCGATGGGCATAAGGCTTTGGAACCCACGCTCTAATCTTCATGCAAATGGGAAGATGATCTGAAGATGATATATCTAAGGTACAAGCATGCGCAAGTGGAAATTTTTGTCGCCAATCTGCAGTTACTAGGAATCTATCAATCTTCTCTTCCACATGAGCATGTTCAGTGCGACCATTATCAAAAGTAAAGGAGTACCCTCCCAAAGGGAAGTCCATCAAGCCGGCATCTTCAACAGCTTCTCGAAAAGCCTGGATAAGATATCGTGGTTTGGGAGGCCCACCTTGTTTCTCATGCTGCTCCATAATAGCGTTGAAATCCCCACCACAAATCCAAGGGAGAGTGCTGGCCTGTGAAAGATCACGAAGAAGATCCCAAGATTCACTTCTTCTAGACTGGTCAGGATGTCCATAAAAACCTGTATGCCTCCACCTACCAAGAGCTAGGTCTTCCACCTCTACATCAATGTGAAAACGTGAGAGAGATAAAAGAGTAACATTAAGTGGGGACTTCCAAAGTAAAGCCAGTCCTCCACTATGTCCAGAAGCATTAAAAGAAAAGGAACCATTATAACCCAACAAAAGTTTTATTTCATCAATACGAGCAGAATCACAAAGCGTTTCAACAAGAAAAATTAAAAGAGGCTTATTCTCCCCAACAATAGTTTGCAGGGTGTGCACTGCTCGTGGGTTGCCAAGCCCACGACAGTTCCAACTGATGCAACTCATGGTGCTAGGCGGGCCTGACATCCAGGTCCCGCCTCCTCCAAGTTTTTTTGCTCTGCATCCATTAACCTGCCAGAACTTTCTCCATTCTTTTCATCCACACTCTTCTTGCGTTTTTTGGGGTCTGTTGGGATCAGCAACATCTCAACATCCGGCTGTTTGTCCATCAAGTTTTGATCAAACCGATTTTGCAAATTTGAGGACTCCATCATATGAGTTGCTTCTCTGTTCCTCTGCCAAACTGCTAGCTCTGTACTGGGAGGTACTCCATCTTGCTTACACAACACGGACGACAACCCCGTGTAGGCAGGAGTAGACCTTCTGCTATCTCCCTTTCCAATCTTCTCTTGTTGCTGGGCTTCATCTCCTCGTGGCGGCAACTCCTCTCGTAACCAGCGTGCCCCAATATTGTTAGAAGCCCGTCTCGTAGATGCCCTCAACTCTGGTCCAAATTTCCTCTCCACTTGACGTCCCCACTGCCGGAGAGTCTCTGGGCAGAACCGTTCACCATGACCTAAGCGACCGCACACAAAACAAAAGGTGGGCAGCCTCTCATATGCAAAATCCACATGAAACCATTCCTTTCCTTCCCTCTTCAGTCGTGTCCCTTTCTTCAAAGGCTTCTGCACATCTAGCTTCACCCTTATTCTAAGATAGGAGGACCATGGGTTGCTAAAATTTTTAGGGTCTGCCTCAACAAACTGACCAATCTCATTCCCCAATCGTTGAGCCACTCTTTCCGAGAAGAAACCGCGTTTTAACCCATAGACTCGCACCCACACATAGAGATGATGCAGCGACACCTCGGAGGGATCTTTAGATCTACCCAGTCGTTCTAGGAGTAGCGCTTGGTTATTGAAAGACCACGGACACATCTCCATTACCCGCTCCATCTCTGCCAATGCACCAAATTGGAAGATATACAAACCTGCGCCCACTTCCTTCACCACCATTCCTTCCTCCGGACGCCACAGAGAAGCCATCGTATTCTTCATCGCCACAAAATTGACCGGACGCTCTGTAAGGAACCGGCCCACGAGGCAGAAATCGTAAGCCGGCTGCTGAATTGATGAGTCCCCAATTTCATCGCCAAAGACCAAACCATCTTCATCCTCGTTGTCCAGAGAAATCGCTGCTATACCATTATCAATATTGGTCGGATCCATTTAAAAACACCAGAGAATCAGTAGATTGAAAGTAGATTGAAGCAAGAGAAGAGAAAACCCTAGCCGACCGTCGAGAACTCCGAAAGTAGGAGACGAACTTTCTTTTTTAAGTTTTGTTTATGAATGTTTGTTGATGTAAAACGCATGTTATTAGTGTCTCAAAGAATAATACTTGTAATGTAGGTGCCCTACCTATTAAAATCCGAAGTTGACATGAGGAAAAGTGTGAGGTTGCATGTGAGTGAAAACAAAGTAAATGTTGTATCATGATTCATGATTGACTGTCTTGTTGGATTCCATCTACCAAACTCTCTTCCACGTTTCGCACGTTCGGTTGGGATAGGGAGACACCAACATATTTAGTGGTGATATTATTTTGACTTCAAATATTACACAGATAGATGATAAAAATCTGTGGACGTAATATAAATTTTTAGTGTATGCTTGTATCTGTTTAATATTTGTGTCAAAATTGAGTGTCATCGGCCATCATGTAACATTATTGTTAGCCGGTTGGACTTGTTCCAAATTCTAAGGGTATGTCCAGAAATTCAGATGGGTTCAACTATATTATTATTTTAAAAAAAGAAAATGGAAAATGCTAGAGTCACAAACATATGGTAGTTCACAAACTTCACAAACTTGTCTTTCATGAATTTTAAAATAAAATATCTTTTATTATTTTAGTGCATCTTATTTCTAGGAAAATATTAAAAAGACAAGTTTATTAATTTTGAGAACTGTTTGTTGTGACTCTAGTATTACTCAAAGAAGATATATGAACACTACTAGTCTCTAGAGCCTCTCTGGTACCAGCCGAAAGGATACGTACATTGAAGAAGGTAGTAAAGCTATAATCTCAAGCGTAGACTTAGCAAAAAATAACCCAACCTGTTTTTTATCTGAAAAAAAGACCCGACCAGCTTTGAGTTGTTTTTCTAGTTTTCATTTCTCCATATTTTTAAATATTTTTTTATGAGACAAGACTAATCTTTAAAAAGAAGAAAAAATTGATGAAGGTAGAAAATTATTTAAAAAATTTAAGAAAAAATCTCAAAAAAAAAATGAAAATGAAAATTTACAAAAACTAATCTCAATTTTAATTCTATAGCACAAAACAAGTGTCATTAATCAACCATTAGCAACTTAACAATAACTTAAAACTCACAAAATTCAGTAAAGTTTGAATTATTATTTACAACAATAAAAAGTATAATGAAAAGTGAGATTATTTTTAAAAGAACAAGTTAAAATTATTCTAGATAATCTTTCCAAAGAATAAAGAGATTAGTTTTTTGCGAATATTAAGAGATTAGTTAGTGTGCTTTATTTTACTACGGAGTACTACGTAATACTTCAATATCGGAAAACCAAAAAGAAATCTATAGGGTGTAAATACTCATCGTCGAAGTTGAGTTTTGAAATAATTACAATTTACAATGTATTTTTATTGTCAACAACGGAATCTGTTTCTACGAGTACTAAAATAGAAATAAATTCAAATAAATACGAGTTACAAATTAGAATGAAAGTTAAATAAGGATTTATGTTTTATTATATGTATGTTTAGAAGACCATTTATCAACAAAGGACTCGGACATGCTCGCTGTTTAGTCCTTAGATCCTTTACATAATTCCCTGGTTAAAGATGGGATGGGTTTGGGAGCAGAGAAAAGCTGATTGATTACGATCACTTTCGCACTCTTCAAAGGGCTAACAAAGTCCGGCTCACACGGCTTCCTGTTTTCCTAAAATAAATTTGTCTTTTGAGAAGAGCGGAAATCGTGTGGGTCCCACATTAGCATCATTGGAGAGTGCAAAAGTGATTTGTATATAGAATTCAAAAAAATGGAAGACAAATATACCCCTGCCATTCCATTCATTTTTCGATATTCATAGAGGCAGAGGGGGGTGAAGGGTGGAAAAAGGAACGAAATTGAGAGGATCTTTTTCATGTCACATGTCCAGACATCATCATCAGCTGTAACTCACATGGGATTCCAATTGCTTATTTGCAGAGACTGAACTTCTCTTTTTAGTTTTACCATCATCTATTGCAACATCTAGAGTACAAACAAAAACATTCATTCACTTTGAAATGGAAAAACAATTTAGGTTTTTAGAACCGAATTGCAGATCTCACCTCCTTCGGGGTGTATTGAGTTGTAGTGAACTTCAGCCCAAAAGCTCAAGAAAATAACTGCACCGTAATAAGGGAAACAAAGTCTTCTTTTGTCAACTAATCTTTTTTGTATTCATGTCAAATATGATGTGTCGTTGAACAATTTGAAAATATATGTAGGGTTCCCTGGATTCTAAAAGTGGTACGCCAAAGAGAAGCATTTGTAAAAGATGGATGCAGTATAATAATGGAAATGGCATTATGGAAAGCTTGAGGAACTTGGACAAATACCTCTTTCAGACTTTTGAATGTTGGGCACTATTTCAATGTAGCAAGTGCCTTTGAAAGATGTTATGACGAATATTTTAACACCATACTGCAATAACAATAACCAGAAAATTAGAATTTCTTCCCAGAGAGCATAATGAACTGAGCGAGTGCTATTCAAACAAACAATTATTCTGCTGGAGTTTGTCTAATAACTTACTGAATAACAAAACTTATGCGTACATAAAGTTATCAAAGTTTTGAAGTTAGCCTCTAATTAGCAGTGCTGGGTGTGAAGTTGAATGTCAACAGCTTTCATCTAGTTTCATATTTGACTGAAAATATCTTAGACTGGAATCCAGTGGTTGTAAACCTTATACAGCTCATGTAGGTTAAACTGCTACATGTATGCCTTGCTGGCATGATGGCAACACCAAAATTATTCCAAATCGCATTTTATCTTTTTTAGAGAAAATATCTTCTAAACGTTCCATTCTCTTAATAGCTACGGAGTATTATAGAAAAGATGGTGGAAATTCGTCTTAGGTGGTTAGAACATGTGGAGAGAATACCAATACAACATCCAATGAGAAGGGTTGATCAAATGGTGAAAAAACATGAGGCTAGAGGAAGGGGTAGACCTAAAAAGGCTTGTAAAGAAGTGGTCAAGTAGGACCTTCGCGTGAATGATCTCACAGCACATATGTACATGATAGGACAGAATGGCATTGTTTGATCCATGGAGCTGACCCCACCTAGTGGGATAAGGCTTTGTTGTTGGTGGTGTTGTTGTATTATCTTAATAACTAGAGCGGCTTAGATGGTGTTTGGGTGTGATTATTTTATAGAAAAGTGATTTTTTGACAATAAAATCTAAAGAGATCTCAGAGTGCTTCTTGGCTTCTGCTTCCCCGTATCTAAAAAACTAAAATAAGACAGTCACACATTCCAAACTATAACCATCCAAAGCGAAACTTGAGAATCATTTTTAAAATCAGTCCCAACACCCTCTTAATCAATGTTCAATTGTTCACGGGTAATACTGGAAAGTAGAAATTCCAACCTGAAGTCCTCAACATTGCTAAGAATGTAATTAAAAAAAAGAGGTAACTCAACATTGCTTACCAACCTCGGATGTTTGAATACTAATAGTTACAAATTGCACGAAATAAATACATAAATAGGTAAACCAGAAAAGGGAACAGAATGTGTACCAAATCTGCCGCAGCTTGCAAAGTTACATGATCTCCCCACTCACCACTCCTATTTCCATATGTATGTATAATTGTTAGATATAGAAACCTAATAGAAACCCCCACAAATTAGATTAGGAGTCATCATCCAAAAAAGGTAGAAGAGAATATACTTTGACATTTTATGGAGATAATCATCATATGCCATGGGCACATATCCTTCATACATCTCTCGAAAAGATTTGAGCTGATAATAAAATATGGAAGTGTAAATCACAATCCACAGAAGTGCATGAATTGCCAAGTAATAGCAAATGATATTCGTAAGTGTTAACAAACCTGGTTCACTACTTGCAATCTAACAAATTTATGATGGTCAGTGGTGCGGTAAAATTGATCAGATAGAGCCCGAAACTGGAAGAAGGATAATAACCAGAATTAGGAAAGGCCTCACATTATATCTAGGGATCATCAATGGGCTGAGCCACAGTGGCCCAAAAATAATAAGCTTGGACAGGGCTGAGCTCATACATAAATAATTCAACCGGCTGGTCTGGGACTCTGGGCTGACCCTTTGTAACAAAATTATGGCCCGTACCCGTTTAGTGAGTTTGGGCTGGGCCAGCTTAGCTCAAAGCCTGCTATAAGAGTGGGCCCAAGATGATGTTACACATGGAAAATCTAAGGTTTTTTATCAGAATATACTGAACTCTATAGTTCAAATACAAAGCCCCACTCACTAAACCAAAGATATTGTCAATAACTGTATTACTGTGTAATAGTGTAGTACATTGTCTCAAAAAAATTATCCCGTTTTCCCCGTTTTGCACATCCAAACATCCCATTTTGATTGTTTCATTTCCTAAAATGGTTGCAAAAGAGTGGACGAAAATAAATATGCTACATTAACAAAACGAGTAGACTAAAATAAAGATATCATTTTGTTTCTTAGCTCTTAAACAAAAAGAGTTTAAAAAGAGAAAAAAAATTAATCTATTACTTGCATTTTTAAATCATTTCAAAAATAATAATTCAAAGGAATACATAATGATTTTCCTTACAGAGTAATAAATCTATTTACCAAATAATTAGCCAACTTTTTGTTGAATTCTGAAAGTACGAGGTTACCAACCAGCTATTTGAATATGCAAAACAAAAGTTGATGAGTCTTAAGCTATATTTTAAATATTCAATGTGATTAACCAGTCACATGCTGATTTTAATATACACTCTAATAGAATAGAATTATGAACAAGCTGACTAACCCAACCCAGCTGGTTCTATCAATATCAAGGTTGAGTTGAAAATTTTACAGTTTTGAATTGATTTATCCTTCTATGTATTTTCCAAATGTATTTAATTCAATTGGGTGTAATACTTTCATGAACTTATCCAACCCAACCAGCACCTCTAGATACAGTGTCTTTTAAGGTTTCAAATTTCAACAGGACCAAATATAGTGAATTCTTAAATCTTGAAGGCCCTTAAGATCTTAAGTATTGTACACATATTAAGTAACTTGATATTTTCGAATCACTATAAAAGTGGAACATTCTTTCTTTTGGCTTGATTTAATTTAAAAAATCAAGTTCACACTTGCACATATTTGGTTACTTGGACAAAGAAATTAAGCTTCTTGCATGCTAATCATGACTAGATAACAAAGCTACTACATGCTAAGAAGGGAAAGATAAGAAAGGTACTCATTTCTAAATGATTTCAATTCGACAAAGATATAAAATACTCATAAATTAGGCAGTCCATTTATTATGATCTGTGATGCGTGTGATGAACAAAAAGATTTACAAAATTGTCATAAATTGGGCACTTCATTTATTACTCAAGTGGAGACAAATATAAAATTCCCTGCATAGTGCGTGCTAAGTATGACTTTCTTCTAAAAAGATCCCTCATCCTATTAATAAAGGATTTTCTTCTAAAAAGATTCCAAAGTATCACAAAGTGGGCAGTTCATTCATTATGAACTATTACAAATCAAGAATGAACAAATCAAAAGAGAGTTTACCTGACAATTACCATCCCCTTGAACCTTAGACTCTACTAGCTCATACATCTGCAGTCTGTAGGGAAAATCAAAACTCAATGTTTCATTCTACACAACAACAACAACCCAATATAATACCAACTCCATTAGGATCCGAGGGTCAAGATGTACTTAGTCTTACCCTTGTCAAACTAGAGAGCCTAAACAACGAGGTTGTTTCTGTTATACCCTAGATGCATTGTTGCATTTACTGCCCAGAACTTCACAAAAATTAAGAAATAGGCGAAGTTCAATGTTCCATTGCGATTGTAGTTTATTATATTCCCAAAACTAAAACATTGTCGATAATGACTCTTAGCTCCATTGGCAATGTTTCATACTACAATTGAATAAAAATCCCATGTGCAAAAAAGGGAAGGCCTTGTTCTTTTATATGGAATATCCAATTCTCCTCTCAATGCAAGGTAAATAAAATTTTAAGCAAATTCTACAAACAATAGACACTTATCCACTTATAAAGAGGCGATATCATAACAAGACTAGAAATCTGTAATATTTTTTATTACTTAATTGTTCATTTACTCTTCACTTTTATGTGCATATAAAAAAACACAAAAAAGCAGATATAGAATACCTGTCCAGAAGCCTTTGATGGTCTAAAGTTGCCTCATCAACTGATGGTATTTCCCCATTTATCTTAGGAATATGCTACAAACAAGAATAAAATAATTGGAAAGTGAAACTGCAGATGCAGAGCTGTAGTTCCAAACAACAAAAGAAGAAGCAATTTCACATATGTTGACGATCAAGGCAAGGCAACATGATTGTGATTCTGACATGATTGTACTACAAAATGGTTGCATGTTATAACCCTTTCCTATTAATTCATACAAGTGCTTTAAAAGAACTACACTTACTGGAATAGGAACCATTTGGTTCAATCTTTTGCCTACTTCGCCCTCTAGATCATACTCGTCCAATGGTTCAATAGAATAGGACCACACCTCTTCAGAGTATGAACCTTCTCCAGGACTTGAACATGAACTAGACGGTCCAGCATCCGTCGTTTCTTCTTCTCCGTTTGCATTTCCTAAAATTACAATTTTGCCAATGAGACTAAATATTGATTCATACAAATCGATATGATTTTAAAATATCAGACGCTTCCATTACCAAATGCATAGCTATCCATTGGCGGACTAAACCATCCATGGGAATAATAGGGTGTTTGTGTATGATCGATCACCGGATGGATGTCTGAATGGGGTTCAGAAATTGAGAGCTGAGATAGTTCTTCCTCAAGAGCACAAGCATTGTACTCGTTTTGCGCAGGGGTGGAAGCTAGATTATATATAGTTTCTTTGTAATACTGATCTTGATGACGATTTTGATAATAATCTGGTCCATTTTGGGCAATGGCGGCACCATAACTGTAGTTAGAATATGGATCGCCATCGAATAACTGGAGACCCCACCTGACCACATCAGGATCTTGCTCATAACTAATCATTTCGAACTATATATAAATACGGAGAGAAATCCGGTGGAGAGGAGGGTACGACACTCCGCTTGGGGTGAGGTTGCCGGGATACGACGTCAAAAGGCCTAAATGCACCGTCTCCGGCGGTGCGAACGGAGTATCTTCAGGAAAGGCGGAGATGTACGGAGTACAGGCGTCCGTACGGTGGTTTGGGAGAAGTCGGCAGCGGTGAATCCCGGGGGATGGAGGCGGCGAGAGGAGGAAAGCTTCACATTAGACAGCTGCGATGCGGTAGATCGGAAGCTCAGATCTTGCCTGAGGCTGCGGGGACTGTGCTTGTTTTCAGATCTTCCGGACTATGGCCACTTCAAGCATTCCATCGATAGCCAGTGCGGTGGTGCGATGGGTAGAGCCGGCCGTACCCATACGCGTTGGTTTTGAAACGGCGACCTTTGGACTCCTTTACTTTTACTTTTTTGGTAAGGATAAAGTTATTTCTACCTAAGTATTTCTACGGCCCAGGGACACCTCAGAAGGGTTGGTGTGACTGTCTTTTTTAGGCACTTCTGATGCTCCATTCATAAAATTGACAATTTTTACCCCCTAACCCACCCCCTAAACCCCTCACTCTACCCTCATCCCTGCACCCCACCCCAACCCTGTCTTAAGCCCCCACAAACATTATTATAGAAAATAAAAAGTTAGAATGTTTAATTTGAGATAGATGACGTATATCTTTTTTTATTTCAAACAAAAAGAACTTTGAATTTTTAAAAAGATTATAAAAAAATTTAAAATAAATCTAAAAAACTTTTCCAAGAAAGGTAAACAAAGAGATACAAAAAAAGTAAAAGAAAAAAAAAATAATAAACGAAAAATAAGAAATGAGCATTTTTACCCCATATGGTTTAGAAAAAAGGCACTAATGCTCCCTCTTTGTCGGAAAATGTCCGGGAAATGATTGCAGAAAGTGTGAATGCAACGTTTTGAAACCATGTAACTTTATGCATAAATAAGTTTTGAAAACAGAGGAGATATTAATACAAATTTTTTCTAAATCATATAGAGCACTAGAACTATTTGGACATATAAATTGACTTAAAAAATAATCAAGTTAAAATGTTGTCATTATATACTCGGTAATTTGCAAAATGTTAGTGTTAAACACTGAAGTTGTGACAAAGAATTTATGGTCTAATGACATCAAGGTGATTCTTTCAAATTGAAAATCCCGAGATCAATCTTCTGGATACAAAGAGTTATTACACTTATAATAGAGTTATTAATGCTAAAATATACTACGTGATGATGTAAATTATTTCAACTAGAATATCATTCTTAGCGGGGCAAGAACAATAAACGAGTCTAACAAAATGCACAAATATATAAGAACAAAGATTTTGACGTGGAAACCCAATCGAGATAAAATCACGGGTCTTTTTGGCGGTACCTTGCAAACGAGAGATTTTTATTAATATCGAGGGTGTGTACACGGTACATAGTTTAGGCTTAGAAACCATTATTGGAAGCTTGAAGCTTCTTTGAAGAAGAAAATATATAACAAATCTAGAGAGAGAGAAAGTAGTGGGCATGCTATGGCGAATCCATGATTTCAGTTAGATGGGGGCGCTATTGGTTAGGAGGACGGGGGCAATGCCTCTCGATTTTTTTAATAGGCTATATGAAATGACCAAAAAATATTGAATCCTATTTTAAACATTTATTGAATATAAAATATTTTTAATAGACATTGTGAATTTTAATTTCATAAATAATTCATTATTTGCAATAAAATATATGTCACTAAAAAATAAACAAAAAATTAAAATTAACCAAATTAGATGTGGTCACCACACTAATTTTCGCTGGGGGCACATATACATAAAAAATGAGTAAATTCCATAAAAGGTCCTCAGTTATAGGTCGTTTTACATATTTAGTCCCTACATATCAAATATTACTAATTTGGTCCCCAATTATTATATTTATTTCTACGAATGGTCCTTTGTTAACATTTTAATTAAAACGTGGATAAAATTATAAATTCACACTCCTTTCTCTCCCCAATTAAGCTTTCTCCTCCCTTGTACTCCTTTCTCAAACCCGTCGCTGAGTTTCTAATAACTTTGAACCCTAAACCAAAATCATCACTCTTTTCTCAATTATTTGTCTAACTGAAGGAATGATCATTTAAATTTTGGGTTTAAGAGTTTCAAACTCAGCGACGAGTTTGGAAAAGAGTATGAGAAGATGAAGAAAGCTTAATTGAGGAGAGAGAGAAGTATGAATATACAATTTTATCCACGTTCTTAACGGAAATGTTAACAAAGGACCATTCGTGGAAATAAATATAATAATTGGGGACTAAATTAGTAATATTTGATATGTAGGGACTAAATATGTAAAACGACCTATAACTGGGGACCTTTTATATAATTTACTCAAATAATTAAAAAAAAATATTTTGGCCTTATTACAAAAATTTAGTAAGGGGCATATGCCCCCAACTCTAACATACTACATTTGCCAATGCGGCATGCAGAGAGCCCCCCTATCTTGGTGGAGTAATCCTTGCTTTTATAGGAGTAGTAAGAGTATCTACAGGGAGATATTCTCTTATTCCTCAATTTTATTAAACAAGTCCGGTTTGATTGTTCTTCGTAAATGATTGGAAAAAGTGAATCGAGGCACGTATTATTTTCCATCACTATGGGTATTGAAGTTAAGGCCAACTTCCGTCTTTATTTGTATTTTTATTTTCTTAGTTGTGATTCCATGATTCTAAAGTACACATGCAAAATATTAATCTTCTTACATTTTTAATGTGTTAACATGTACTTTTTATTTTATTTATTGTTTTCAAAGAGTTTAATTCATTCATGCTATTTATATACCAAGTTTTATAAAATCATGACCACGTAAAAATTGCCTTCTTTTTTTCTTTTTGCAATAAATGATATCCTAGTAAATATTTTCTTTCAAAAAGTATTTTTAAAAAAATGGAGTAGAACAATATAAATATTTCAGTCCCTTTTCACTCCATTTTTCTCTCCCCGCCATGTCTTTCCTTCATCAAACACAAGTTCTTCATCGATCTTCAAACCCATCTTTTTCTCAAATCAAACAAACCACATTTTCTTCCATTTTACAAACCACAATTAATCTTTACCTAATTTGCACAAAAGGTTTAATTCCCCAATTGTTTTTTTGGCTCCATATTATGAAAAAATGCGTACGCCAAAAGAAGGAAGCTTAAGCGATCATGATATCCCATCGCCCCGGAGCTTTATCTCGATTTTGATATTCCTTTTAATTTCTCCGGCGGCGCCGGTGGCCCACGGCGGCCCCGACACCGGTAATCCCGCCGCCGTCCAGCTCTTCGCACAGGCCGTCTATAACAAATTTAAGAATTTCAATTCTCTGTTTGATGATAGCGTCGCCAAACAAATGCGTTATTGCGTCAACAATGTGTAAGTCTATTTATGTATATATACATTACGTAATTTAATTTGATGTAATTGATGATTAGTATTGATAAAATTTAACATGAAAAAAATAGATAATTTACATTTTGTTAAAAAAGTTATTGATTAGATGTTGGAAATATGTAGAAAAATGAACAAAGGAAAATATGGAGTAGTTAGAATTTATTTTGAAAAGAAAAAAAAAGAATATTATAGCCAGTATATTCTTATCCAAATAGAAGAATAAATTAGTTGGAATAGATGAAAAGAAAATTGATCGAGTTATTTTGAGATGAAAAGAACCATTATAAAATTAAAAAAAAATGATGAAAAAGATGAAATGGATAGAAAATAGTAAATCTTTGAATGATTGAAAAACGATCAGAAGATAGAAATAAAGTGAAATGAGAAAAAATTGAAAAGGAAAGAGTACAAAAGAGAATGACTAACTTACATGTTTATGATAAGAGCATGTTTATTTGTATATTTACTACTCCATAGTTATTAGCTAAACTTAAACAAACTTAACACTTGAGGTAAGTTCATTAAACACGAATTTCACAAACTTCAATTCGTATTTGGAGTATCTCAAGTGTGAAACCAACTTTGATACCACCATTTTAAAAAATATTTGCAAATATGGAAGATGCAATACCAAATGTCTTTAGTATGTGTGAGAAAATTATATTAAGCCTGTGGGTGTTGCGCAGTTGGCAAGACAATGAGTGTCAAAGGAGTAAGACCTGAGTTCGATTCCTCGCAACTTCTCTGTCTTGATACCAATCTGCAATCAAAGTCTAATTTACCTCCTCTCATTGACCGTTCGATCGGGTCACAAGGGGCTCGTCCTTAAGAAAATTATATCAAAATTGTTGTCAAACGAAATTAATTTTTTGTAGCTATCTTTTAGAAATGTGTTTGGGATGTGTGTAGGGATGCTGATTGGAAAGCAGCATTTGATTTCTCAAAAGACACTGAATTTCTTTCCAATTGCGTCAAACAAACAAAAGGTGTGAGTGTGCTCCCCCATTGGGTATTGATATATACTCCATATAGTGTTTGGTTGGGGAAAATGATTTTGCTATGAGATGAAATTTCAATTCATACCTGCACGTATTTATAGAGTCGTTCGATATCTTATATTCGTGTATTTTCATTGTTATTTTTTAAAATAATGTTGCCAAGTTGTCTTTATTTTATAGGTCTTTTTTATGCAATTTTAATTATATAATTTATATTTTTAATTTATATCATTTATTAAATACATTGAATGTAGATTAAATTTGATCAAACATAACAGTGCATGTCATTTCATGTGACAAATAGACTAATCATTTTTTTGTCATTTAGTAAGAAAATAAATTTTTTGTGATTGACCTATAATGTCAAAGAGTGGGGATGAAAAAACCATTTCCTCTCTTCCCAAAACCAAAATAATTTCACTCGATTAAAAAGAAATTGGTTTTCACTCAGATATAATTGTCCATATTTTACAAGAAAATCATTATTTTGCCCAACCAAACAGAATCTGGCTTTTTATACTTTCAAATGTTTCATCTTGACTTGTTTTGATGGATCAACAGGGGATATAATGCAGCGTTTGTGTACAGCTTCAGAAATAAAATTTTATGCATCGAGCATAGTTTTAGGCACTCTCGAGAACATGGGGTCAAGTAGCAGCAACTATGTGAAACCAAACAAGAATTGTAATTTGACATCATGGGCTTCTGGGTGTGAGCCAGGGTGGGCTTGCAGTGTTGGAAAAGATGTGCAAGTTGACCTTAAAACACCGAAAGAAATGCCCGACAGAACCCTCGAATGTCAGCCTTGTTGCGAAGGATTCTTTTGTCCTCATGGCCTCACTTGTATGATACGTGAGTAAATTTTTTTTTTATGCGCCTCTAATTACCAATTTAAGATTTTGATTTGAGTATTTTAATTGACGATAAATATCATTGTTTGTTATTACACTAGAGTTTACATTTTAACTACAGACTTTATATTTTACGAACAAACGTGTCTAGTAAGACTAGACACAATAAATCGAAAAGTGATTACGATTAATGTATTTTTTTTAGAGATCGCAATGTAGTGGTACCCATGCAAAGGATCTAATCACTAACAATAGCTCTGCTGAAAGAGGCAACACTTATCAAGTCACCCTCAATGATTGATATTCGTTTGCATGTCTTGTTTGACTGATATGATTTTTTTTCTTGGTGAAGCCTGTCCGTTAGGCTCTTATTGCCCTGTTGCAACTCTCAACAAAACTACAGGTGTATGTGATCCGTAAGTCCCTTTGTTCCTAGAAACCATTAATCAGTATTATACTTTTATTTGAAATGTTGGCTTACTAGTTTACTCTCCACATTATATTTTTGGTAAATATAACCTTACCAAATAAAGGGGATAATATTATCATTTCCTACATTCTTATTGACATATTCAAGTGTAATTTTAAGAGTAGCTTTTGTAAATATAAAGTGGTAATACAATTTAGAGAGTGACAATAAGGTTGATTAGGGGGTTAATGTTATGTTCCATTCAACTTATTTTTCAGCTTATTACTTATTTTTATTAAAATCAGATCTCATCAGAAACTATTTTAAATATAACTATAATCAAATCAAATCAAACCAGATCTTCATACGCAAAGTCGCAGAGAGTGTGTAGAGTGAGAAAGCCCATCATTGACATAAGGTTGAAAGATTTATGTGAACCTTTTCATGCAATTTTTTATTTTTATTTCTTTTTAAAATAAAACTATTTATTCTATCATGAATCCAGTTTGGTCTCTTGGACTCAAAAAAGCAGTGTCATATTCTCTCTGTGATTATTTAAATTTGAAAATTTCTATCATGAATCCAGTGACCATTGCATCCTCCGAGTACCTCACCTATTTGAGTGCCATCAAGTGATTTCTCAGGTTTTATTTAAATATTTATCTCAATAATAACATACATCCTACCTAGATTAAGGGATTTGGAAGTACAACACTACAACCTATAGAACAAATCCTGTTCAAGTAAGGTCATATGAATTCTTCATATTAAGTCAGGTACCTGGGGGCATTCCTACAACCAAATCCTTTTAAAGTATGAAAAATTTGACGTTCCAAGCTTCTGACCACGTGCCTTCCCTATATAAGTTTATGTCTGTCTCCGTGTAATTTTAGTCAGCATGAATCTCCTTGCAAGAACTTGCTTGTAACGTTGTGACATGGTGTTCATGATTTTTTTAGATTTTAGAGTGATTCTCATTCGATCTTATAAGCAACTCATCACCTTGATACAATACAATGGAAAGTCACACTCAAAAACTAGCTATTAAGGTGAGAAAATCTCAAATTATATAAACTCATCACTTTAGTTTTTCATATGACCGGTGTGAGACAAATGATACTGAGCCATAACATTCAATCTCCATAAGGTCCAATGCCCTCATTGGTCACAGGTTGTTTCACCAAACTATTATTTAGATCAGTCACACCTCAAAAGCTAGCTAAGAAGAGCTTGTATGACAAATGAAAACAAGCACTAACACACCTTTGTGTGCAAATTTACCAAAAAAATGGAGGTGAATTATGGTGGGAAAATATTTTAAATTCTATGGGGAAGAATATGATATGAGTGAATCGATATGAAGATCATCCATAGTTTAACGCGAGTCAGAATTTTGAAAAGCGCATCTTTTTAGTCGTTATAGATGAACCATACCGAGTGCCTCTTTAGCAAGAGGGCTGATGATTGGACGAAGAAGATTTGCAGGTATCCGATTGCAGAAGAAGATCGGAGGCAAGCTGATGCCGGAGGAGGAGGATTGACGGTGAATGAATAGTTGAACAACCCTAATTTGGTTTCTCAAAACACAAATCGAACACCAAATCATGCATGATACCTAACCCATATCTTCTATGCTTCATTTCTGAGTCCAGAGTGAATACATCTATAGTTTTACTCTTTAAAGTCTTGCAGAAGAAAGAAATTTCACTTCCACATTTTGGTTAGATTTATATGGTCTGGTTGATGCTTTCAGGTACAGTTATCAGCTGCCTACTGGAGAGACAAATCATACATGCGGTGGAGCAGATGTGTGGGTTGATTTTGTCAGTTCCTCTGATCTATTTTGTTCAGCTGGATTTTACTGTCCTAGCACTACCAAGAAAAATCCTTGCAGTCGTGGGTATATACATATTGATTGTGTTAACTTATTCTCTTAATTTCAAGATGATATATATGGGCACTTAGCCACCTTATTCTGGTTATGATTTATTCCCTTTTGCAGCCATTACTGCAGGGCTGGCTCAACAGAGCAAACGAGTAAGTCTTTATCTTGCTTTCTTATGGTGAAAAATTAAGTGATTAACTTATCAAAAGAAAAGAAACAGTCAAAGACAGGGTGGTCCTTCTTACTTGAAATGCAATCTTGCAGACTGTTATGAATTGGCTACTTGTGAACCTCAAACTGCAAATCAAAACATCACAGCATATGGTCTCCTCTTTTTTGTAAGTCGCTCCTTTACTTTTTTGAGAACATTTATTCCTTCATTGTTCTTTAATTTGTTCATTTGATCATCTTCTGTTTGATGGAGTTTCTTATTCATTTCACACATTGTCCACGTGTACCAATGTTACTCCCGACCGTTAAGATTTTGAGAGATTTTCCTCAGCATCCTCATAAGCCTCACTACATTTAAGTTTGCTGTCTTTCAAAAATATGTTATGAGCCACCTTACTCTTGGGTAAATATTGTTAGATTGTACTTGATTCGTCCCAAAAAACTTTTCCTGGGTATAATCTCATTTATACACAAGTTGGTATAGAAATAAGTACAACTTACATATTTGAAAACTATATTAAAAGTTCTACAAAATAAGTGGTGACATGACTATTTTATTTTATCAAATGACTAATGAAAAAGCAAACGCGACCAAAAGTTATCGAAAACATGAAATAGTAAACAAGAAAAGTTTCACACATTGTCCACTGTGCAGAGTAACATTGACGCGAAATAAACTTCTCAGGTAAATGTTGTTAGATTATATTTATTACAAGTTAATTTCTTCACATTTTGTATTTGTGTTACAAGTTTGTGAGACGGAGTACAAAAGCGTATACGAGATCTCAAATAAGGAGAGGTCGATTCTTTTCCAAACAAATACTTATGCGCAGTATAAATCAAGCACAATCAACTGAATCAAGTAGAAATCAACTCAAATCAATTTGATATCAAGTTGATCAAATGTGATGAATTATTTGTCGACTTATTGCACCATTATAATGTTACAAACATTCCATTTATGTGTAGCCATTGTTTTTATCTTCTGATTAGGCTGGAATCATACTCGTACTCCTCATCATTTACAATTGGTCAGACCAAGTTCTGAGCACTCGAGAGAAAAAACAAGCAAAGTCCAGGGAAGCGGCAGCAAAAAGTGCGCGTGAAACAGCACAAGCACGTGAGAAATGGAAATCTGCAAAGGACGTTGCCAAAAAGCATGCAACTGGGCTTCAGTCCTCACTATCCCGCACTTTTTCCCGCAAAAAGTCCACACTGACAGAACCTAAAGCTGGAGGTGATTCTGTTAGATTATATAATATGAAATATTGTCTAGAGTATGTTTTCTTAATACTTATTTTCTGTTCAGTTTAATTTATTTTATTTAATTTCAGGCCAACACTTTTTAATTAAAATTATAACTGATATTCTGTCCAGTTGGGTTCAGTCAAGTTTGGTTCAATTACGTAAATATACATAAAAATAGCATACTCATATTAATATTGTTTTTTAATATACGGTAGAATCATAATCATGTGAAGTTTTTAGTAGAACATATTTAGAAAGTACTCCGTATATTGGTACTCTGTATACGATATGTCCTAACATATTATGTAACAGATTCTGCATCTTTGCCCCCGATGCCCTCTGGCATGTCTCAAGCGAAAGCAAAGAAGCAAAGCAATCTCACAAAAATGATGCGCGAGCTTGAGGAGAACCCTGACGGGCACGATGGGTTTAATGTGCAGATTGGGGACAAGAATCTGAAGAAACATAAGGCTAAGCAGCTGCACACTCGCAGCCAAATCTTCAGATATGCATATGGGGAGATTGAGAAAGAGAAGGCTCTTCAAGAGCAGAACAAGAACATGACGTTTTCGGGCGTCATTTCAATGGCCAGTGAGTTTGAGACCGTGGGAAGGCCTCCCATTGAGGTTGTTTTTAAAGATCTCACCCTCACCCTGAAGGGGAAAAAGAAGCATCTGTTGAGGTGTGTATCGGGTAAGTTGTCGCCTGGTCGTGTTTCTGCCGTCATGGGGCCTTCTGGGGCTGGAAAGACGACGTTTTTATCTGCTTTGACGGGAAAGGCTACAGGCTGCACCATGAGTGGTTTGATTCTTATAAATGGAAAAGCTGAGAGTATGCAGTCGTACAAGAAAATTATTGGCTTTGTCCCTCAAGATGATATAGTGCATGGTAACTTAACAGTGGAAGAAAATCTCTGGTTTAGTGCAAGGTGCAGGTAAATATATGTCATCTGCTATAAAATAAAACATTGTTGCTTTTTGGTTTTTCCTTTATGCTCTACACTTCATGTGTTGGTTTTGTGTAAATTATGATGACGACTACTTGTTTTTTTAGAATTTTCATATCATTGTTCCTTATTAAGGTTTTGTCTTGAAAAACAATACCCCAATATAATTCCAACCTCACAGAGGTCAGGGTCAACAACAACAACAACAACAACCCAGTTAAATCCCACAAGGGTGTGTGTACGCAGACCTTGCCCCTACTCGAAAGTAGAGAGGCTGTTTCCAAAGAGACCCCCGGCTCAACGTCGAAAGTTGCATTGCTTGACTAACTGCTACTTCATTAATTAGAGAAGCGCAGATAGTTTAGAGATCTATTTTGATTTATTCCATCACACCCCAAAGCCAAAAAATGGTGAAATTTTGGCTCCATCGGAATTGTACCCAATACACGTGTAAACAAATGAAGTTCAAAAACATCATAGAAAGTAAGAAGCAAATGAAGTTCAATGTCCCATTTCAATTCAGTGCATTATTTATTCAAAGTAAAAGATTGTCAATAACGGTTCTTTTAGCTCCATTGTAAGAGCATCCACATAAAACATTGCCGTTGTGTTTCTTTATTCTTTGCACGGCTTTAGGGTGTTAATTCATTTTGTATGGTTAGTAATGTTAGAGTATCAAAACCTTTCCTGGGCCTACAACCACAAGTTTGAGCTTTTGGTTGAGCTGATTCGTTGACATGATATCATAGTCTTGTTGACCAAGAGTTCACGAGTTCGAACTTCACCACCACCCAGTTTTGAAAAATTAATTCTCACGTGCAATGCTCGAGCATAAACAAATCTCGTTTGCACGTGAGGGGGCTTGTTAGAGTATAAAAACCACAATATAACTAGGTGGTAGATTATCCCGGGCCTACAACCACAAGCTTGAGTTTTTGGTTGAGTTGGTTCCTTGACATGTAGCAACTAGTTTACTGGGTTGTTTTTGTAGTAACAACAACAAACTTGTGGATTAAGGTGCTGATAACAATGAGCATTGTTCTCAATTCCTTTTAACTAGTTGTCTAAAGTTCTTTGTTATAGATTGCCAGCAGATCTTCCAAAGCCAGAAAAGGTTTTAGTTGTTGAGAGAGTGATAGAAGCACTTGGATTGCAACATGTAAGAGATTCCATTGTAGGAACGGTTGAGAAGCGAGGCATATCTGGGGGTCAGAGGAAGCGAGTGAATGTGGGGCTGGAAATGGTTATGGAGCCATCTTTATTGATTTTAGATGAACCAACTACTGGTTTGGACAGCTCTTCTTCTCAGTTGTTACTTAGAGCACTCCGCCGAGAAGCTCTTGAAGGAGTAAACATATGCATGGTGCTTCACCAACCCAGGTTGACCCCCCCCCCCCCAAANGAGAGAGTGATAGAAGCACTTGGATTGCAACATGTAAGAGATTCCATTGTAGGAACGGTTGAGAAGCGAGGCATATCTGGGGGTCAGAGGAAGCGAGTGAATGTGGGGCTGGAAATGGTTATGGAGCCATCTTTATTGATTTTAGATGAACCAACTACTGGTTTGGACAGCTCTTCTTCTCAGTTGTTACTTAGAGCACTCCGCCGAGAAGCTCTTGAAGGAGTAAACATATGCATGGTGCTTCACCAACCCAGGTTGACCCCCCCCCCCCCAAATAATCTCCTTTTATGCTTTGTTTGGATATAGAAGGCAATGGAGCAGGAAAGATGTGAAACGCTATAGAAGTTTTCTCTTGATTCAATAACAAGAAAAACCTATGTTGTAGATACTTAGACAAAGAAACATTGTCATTTTAAAATTAATAAAATAGACCTTGTATGATTGTAAAATCAGCAAAATGACAATTTGAAAATGGAGCCTTAGTGTTTTTGCAAATCATTTCTTTTCACTGGTTCAAATAACTAATTTTTAAATAGAGGATTTAATCAGCTCAATTGAGGGTCATGTTGTCTATATTTCATCCTTTTTCTCTCTATCCAAATAAAAATAATAATGTCCCCTACCCCTACACATCTTTCTTCCCTGCTTTCTTTCCTCCCTAATTCATGCTAAACAAAGTTTAAAATGTTTAAAATTGGTTTTAACTTCCCTTTTCTTGCCACCATGCCTTACATTTCTATATTTTTAGTCCTAGTGGAATTTGTACTAATGGCCTGGATAAAAATCCCGTTTCAGCTACACATTGTTCAGGATGTTTGATGATTTCATACTTCTAGCAAAGGGTGGTCTAACCGTATACCATGGACCAGTGAAGAAAGTTGAGGAATACTTTGCAGGCCTTGGCATCCATGTTCCTGAGCGCGTCAATCCTCCGGATTACTTCATAGACATCTTAGAGGGAATTGTGAAGCTAAGTCCGAGCATAGGGGTGAACTACAAAGAGCTTCCTCTCAGATGGATGCTTCACAATGGTTATCCCGTACCACCGGAGATGCTGGACTCTGCCGGATTGGCAGCTTCAGTTGGAGAGAATTCAGCTCATGGGGGAAACCCTGAAGCTGCTGCTGGATCTGATGGGACTTTTGCCGGAGATCTGTGGCAGGATGTGAAATCCAATGTTGAACAGAAGAAGGACCAAATGCAGCACAATTTCTTGAGCTCCAAGGACTTGTCTAATCGGGTTACACCGGGTTTATTTCTGCAGTATAAATTTTTTCTTGGAAGGTAATGCCTTATTTCCATCACATTGTAATGCTCCTGCCATATAATCTGTCTTGAAATATGTTAATTTTATTGGCCCCGATACCACTTGTTGGGCCCGAAGGACCGTACCCACAGGATATGCGTGCTCAAAGAAACACAAACAAGAGATGTAGGAGAAGGGAAAATTTTTACATTGACCAGATGGAGCATACAAATTACAAAGTACAAATTTTGTGTAGAAACTCAAAACCCTTATCCCAAATGTTTCACTGATAAAACAAACACATGACAACATTCTTGTGACTCGTGAAAGAATATTTTCTCACAGAAGGGCTCTCAAATACAAACACACTCCAAAAAACTCTTCCGAGCTCTCACCATAATCTCTCCATAAAATGAAGAGTATTGAGAGTAACACTAAGTTTTCACATGGAGAATAATCAAAATGGAGAGCATATCTTGATTAAGAAGACCACATCCCCCTTTATAGCATAAGATGTTTCTGCCTCAAACACTATGAAAGTGACTCCTCCATTTGGAGGTATACCCAACAAACATAAACAATGAATGTGAAGTCCAAGTGTCCTACTAACATCTTAGGGTTTTAGTTGAGACAGATCACATCATTTTTATATGTGTGGTAAACGTCATCTCTTGATATGAGAGACTAGTCCGATGGTGATTTGGGGTCGGATTTACCCCATTTGTCCACCACTTCCATTTCCAGACAGATTTGGATTGAGTGGAGTGTGTTGATGATCCCACAGCGGTCGTCTAATGTCGTTTGTGTTGCAGCTAGGCTTACTTTAGCATCCTTCAATACTTTAGTGAATATTTTTAAGGGTTAAATATGTTTTTGGTCCTTTTTTTTTTTTTTTTGAACCACTTCACAATTCATTAACTCATCACAAAAATAAGATCATACAATCTTCAATACTCCTCCCTACTTAATTCTACTACCTGGACAGTATATTACTCTTCTTCAGTTTACTACTAATGAAACATCTAATATTGAACATAATACAGGAGACACACTCGTCCACCCTCACATCCTCCTTTAGGTGCCACTTAGTATTTCTAGCCTTCCATATGAAGTAGCAAGTTGCTGCCCATGCTGTTATCCAAATTCCTCTCTCCCTTCTGGTTCCATGTCTCCTCATTTTGTCACAATATTCTTGGAAACTTGAAGCTTGAATTACACAACCCATGGGTACCATAATCTTACTGTGCAGCTCCTTGGAGAATGGGCATTCCCAAAATAAATGGTTGATGTCTTCTGCTCCATTATTACACA